GTTTGTAATTAAGCACAAAGCTACACAATGGGTTATCTGTGCTATGCCCACCACGGGTATCGAAACCCGGAGTCTAGCGTTGTAAGTCCGCAGACATACCGCTGTACCACTGGGGGGCATAAAAAAAAGAAGATAAACACGTATCTTAAATTAAGTACAAAATAATCGAATCGAGGATTATGTTCGTAAAACTACGCTATGCTCACCGCAGGCTTTGAACCTCGAAATTTAACGTTATAAGCCCTCAAGCTTATGCTGAGACACTGAGGAGGTGGAGAGAAGCTTAGCGTAAGTCGGCCTTACTTTTCGTTTACGTATTTGATAGATGATGAAAATGGTCATGCTAGCATAAATTCATTTAACTAAGTTATTTTAATTAGTTTACTTTTAAGTTCCCCGCTTGCTTTTCTCTACGTATATATAAAAATTTTGATAGTCCTGTTTCTATATAGAGAATTTATAGATAAGCAAAACGATGAAACTGTAACGACGATAAAAAAGTTATACACTAAAATTGAGAACAAATGATAAGCTCCAAAACCATTTTCCAGATCTCGAGAAGGCATAAAACTTTTAAGATATGTTTGGAGTCTTACATGACGTTTTTCCATCTTATCTAAGCATCTCCATAAATCTTTGTTCAATTATACAAAAAAAACTTTCATTGACATTTATTTGTTTCCTCTGACATTAAATCATTTACAAATTTCTACGTCTCTTGGGTTAACATGATAATAAGTTTTCTTTATCTAGCCTCCTTGAAGAAAAAAAATATATAATTTTCCTTTTCCACGTTTCCAAATTCGCAAAGATGGAGAAAACCCGACTACCACTATCGACTCACAGAAATGTGCATCTACTCTATTTAGATACCTACATCCTCACTTCGTCAAAACAGAGAAAATTAAATGCCTCCTGGACAGATATGTTAAAATAAAAACTCATCAAACGAAGGCAAAACATTCCAACTTACACTCCAAAATAACAGTCTTCCAAAAGACTCAATCATTAGATAACAAACTTTTAAGTAAGGCTGGATACAATAAAAAATATGCAGTTGGTAAAACGTTTTATTAGGTTGCTTGGAAATAGAACTTGTAGTTTTCTTAACTACGTGATAGATTTCTTTGTACTCAGCGACTTAATATAAAGTTTAGGATGTTCTAGAAAGGAGTGGAATTCTTAGGTATTAATAGGGTATTTTTACTTATAAATCATAGACTTTGGAATAGTTATGCAAGTTTGTTTGTTTGTTTGCAGTTAAGCACAAAGCTACATACTTGTCTATCTGTGCTCTGCCCACCACGAGTATCGAAACATGGTTTCTAGCGTTGTAAGTCCGCAGACATACCGCTGTGCCACTGGGGGGCAGTTAAGTAAGAATCTCAAGTTACACATTAATATGTATGGCAGCATTTGGAGCTAAGTATGGCTTGTACCAAAGTTACAAAATGGGCTAACTGTACTGTGCTCACAACGGGTATCAAAACTCGGTTTTTAGCGTTATGAGCCTTCAGACTTACCGCTTAGCCACTAGAGGACGGGAGAAGTAGTTAAGCATTTAGAGACAAATATAAAATAAAATGTGAGGTTTGAAGGTATTTCATTCTTATTTTGGAAATTATTAAAGCTAAAGGCCTAATACGCACAATCCGCGTGGGTCAGCAATGCGTTTATAAACTTACAACGCTAAAATCCGGGATCCGAATCTACGCGGTGGACAAAGTTCAGATAGCTCATTGTGTAGCTTTGTGCTAAAACAGCAACAACAACAACAGTACTTGTTACTTTCACTTGATTTTATAAGAAATAACTTTCAACCTGGGCAGCATCTTATACGACACATAGGCTTAACGGATAAGTCAGAGACCACTAAAGGTCAGTTACATACGTTCCTAATGTTGAACTGCTGACCAGATGGAGGACACCATCTACTGCCACAAATATTTGTATGTATTTAAATTGCCACTATGCCCATGTCTGACCAACAAATTAGTAGAGAAAATATAAAGCAAATTAATACAGAATTATGGTAACATCCAAACAAGCACAGCTGTATGGTGGACAAAATATCCGTTCGAACTGGAGACAACATCATATTCATAAAGCAAAGATATAAATTTGAAAAAAAAAACCATAACGAGAAATCCACCATTTTCTTCTTTATATTTAATATTTGTGTATTAATTACAGAATATTTTTTTGGCGTTACTTAGGTCTCTGTAATCAAAATTTCACAAGATACTGTATTGACTTCTTATTGTGCTAACCATCTCAGTCTAATAGTATTTTCATACTCTAGAAAAATGTTAATGACTTACATCGAATTTCAAACTAAGTTCTCTAAAATAAAGCCCCCCAGTGGCACAGCGGTATGTCTGCGGACTTACAACGCTAGAAACCGGGTTTCGATACCCGTGGTGGGCAGAGCACAGATAGCCCTTGTGTAGCTTTGTGCATAATTAAAAACAAAAAAACAAAAACAAACTCTAAAATAAAAGAATAAATGTATAAGAGGATAAACTTACCTCCTAATTTTAATTCTGTTGTTCCTTGTGCTGATTCTTTGTCGTTATAAACGAAACATTGGTACATGCCTCTGTCTTCTCTTCTAACCACGGAGAAGTAAAGTACTTCTTGCGTTATTAATCTGATTCTTGAATTTGTCACCAGAGGAGCGGCGTTTTTCATCCATTGGACAGTGTGAATAGGATATCCCGCTATAGAGCAATTCAATGTAGTAGGACGACCGATGTCAGCAATATGGTACTGAGGCGTGACGTAAACAGAGAGAGAAGCTTCAAATAAAAAATAATAATATGAGTGTTAATATCGATTAATGAAAACAATGAAGAAAATAAAAAGATTAACTGATGAAAATATTTCTGACAAAAACCATCGAGTTAAGCTTATACCATAAGTATGAGCTTCTTTATTTGAAAGCTCTGCCCACCACGGGTATCGAAACCCGGTTTCTAGCATTGTAAGTCCGCAGACATACCGCTGTGCCACTGCGGGGCTACTTGAAAGAAATTAGCGAATGAGGTTTATAATGAGTTATGCAATATTGGAAGAAAGTGGCATGAACCCTAGTGGGTCAGCGGTAAGATTATGGACTTAATAACCTAAAAGTTCGGGGTTTGATGGATAGAATGCAACTAGCCCGGTAGGTCATCATTAAGTCTACATACTAGCAACATAAAACCTCGGGTGTCGATTCCTCGCAGTGGACAGAATGCAGATAGCCTATTGTGTAGCTTTGCAAAAACTACAACAACGACGTGTAATGTCCTTCTTAAAATCTTTAACTACTTTACTATCATGTTTATACTAAAGAATCCATAAGCGTAACGTTCGTATTAAAATCGTTAACTACTTTACTGTCATGTTTATACTAAAGAATCCATAAGCGTAACGTTCGTATTAAAATCTTTAACTACTTTACTGCCATGTTTATACTAAAGAATCCATAAGCGTAACGTTCATTTTAAAATCTTTAACTACTTTACTATCATGTTTATACTAAAGAATCCATAAGCGTAACGTTCATTTTAAAATCTTTAACTACTTTACTATCATGTTTATACTAAAGAATCCATAAGCGTAACGTTCATTTTAAAATCTTTAACTACTTTACTGTCATGTTTATACTAAAGAATCCATAAGCGTAACGTTCTTATTGAAATCGTTAACTACTTTA